CTAGCCAAGTATCTTCATTGCGTAGCCAGTGAAGATGATACCTGACGAAAAAGTCCACAACTTGTTAAAAATACTTTCTGCGGTGCGAGCACCAAGTTCCGGACCCACGAAGAAGAACTGAATGACTTCACACTTGAGTGACAACAGAGGATAACCAAACTGATTTCAGTCTGATGAAGGCGTTTCTTGTCGTTCCAGTTCTAGCCAACTTAAGGATCTTCATCCTACTTGACTGCCTGTTGAATCCATGATTCCTGGCTGGATAAATGAACGAAGCGACCTCTTTCAAATTTATTCAGCTGATAGTGATTGGTGCTGTTAGTTGTTGTTGTTGTTGGCTGGTTGGTTATCTTCATGACACCCGTCCGTCGTCTCCATGTTTACCTGGATTTCCGTCTTTGCTGCCTGCTTCTTCATCAAGTTTGTTTCTTTTCGCCTGTCAATCTTCGAGTTCATGTTGCACTAAGCATAAATCATCCACTCGCGAAATCCACACCTTCTTGAGTCTTCTTATCCGTTTTAGAGTATTATGGTCTTCTTACCTGCACAGTCTGACGCATAAAACAGTACACCACAATTAGGAATACCGTCACTGATGATCGGCAGCTGACTTGTCTCATTCCGGTACTCACTTTGAACCCCTCGCTGAGTTTTCCGCTGTTGATCACTTGACATGTGGTATTGGAATATAGCTGTTGAATGAGGTTGATGAATACTTGAGGTACTGCGCTCCAGGACGTCGAAGTAGTTTCTAAATTACTTCTCGGTTAACACTGTTGAAAGTCTTTTGAAAGTAAATGAAACTGCGATAGAGATTTGAATGTCATTCAATGAATTGTTCGATGATAATGCTTAGACTTTCAATTTGATCAGCACACGAATTGCCTTTCCTCAATCCACCTTGTTGCGGCTGGTGGAGTTCTCATTACAAGGCATTTGTTAGTCTCTCCAGGTTGACACATCTACACATTTTCCTTGTTACGTTGTACAGCCCGATTCCATGCTATAAATTTTGAAACCCCGCCTCACTGTTCCAATTGTTCCAAATAATCCTCACTATTCGCGCGATGCGATTCTTTGTGTACTTTAGTCCTACCTACACTGTTTTCCAGTGGAATTCCATCTGGTCTTCCTACCTTTTCAATTTGTCTTTAGTAACATCACATCATTCAAAACCTTGACACATCGTAATTAGTGGATACTAAACAAAATGGCTTAACTGTTTATTTTCATGCCTGCTCAAGATTTACTCAATATGTATCATAGAATACGGCATCACAATACATAGATACTTCAGTGTTCTTAGAAACATGTGTTTGCCTGACGGAACCGAATCATTGTATTCAATCTGATGTTTACTTTTGATATTCCTATTATATCTATTTTACGTAAGGCGTGTATGAGTGCATAATATGCTCAAATAAAACTTTGATAGGGTATACGAATAAATGAATCCACACCAGTAAATGGGTGAATAATCTCTTTTTGTTGGTGTCACTCAACTGAATTTCACCTAATCGTGTAAGTCTGCTTAGTGATAATAAAAACCGGGATATTTTCACTTTATCCGAAACACAACAGTTAATCGACGGTGACGAAATGAAATCTGAAGTGAATATGTGTACAAGACACTTGTGAATGTTACATCCTAAAACGTTTTCTCACATGGTGTTGATGTGCAAACTATCCAGGTGACTAAACCAAATCACCTATATCAATGGATTGTGGTGGTGCTGAATACTGGATCAACGATATTTGAAATTCATGTTTCTTAAGTATTCATATTCAATGACTGAATGGAACAATGATAACACAATTGGCAGGAAATCTCACAAAGTTGCTCGCTGGTTAGCCAATAAGTTAGAACCTGTCAGACATCGTCTAGTTAAACACACTTTAAAAGACTCGTTCCAATTTGCTGACGAGGTGAATCAACTCAATGTACATGACAAAATCATGGTTTCCTTCGATGTGACTTCTCTATTCATCCAGATCCTTCTGCATGAGATATTAGACATCATCTGTGAACACTCTGATCTTCTTCCTCTACCAAAACTGGAATTTCAGCAGCTTCTCGTGTTATGTACTAATGATATACAATTCCACTTTGACAACAAAATGTATCGCCAAGTTGATGGTGTGGCAATGGGGAGTCCACTGAGTCCGGAATTAGCTGATATTTTTATGGCTAGTCTAGATACGTTGATGACACATTCATTGTATGCGATGACTTCAGTCATGTTTCCTCTCTATTAGACTTTTTCAACAATGTATACAAAAGCATCACTTTCACGATGGAGCATAGAGATGATGAAAAATTCAATTTTTTGGACTTAAAGTTGGGGAGAAAAAACGACGGGATACTCGAAAGATCTGTATACCGTGAAGACACATGGAGTGGCCCTTACTTGAATGTCAACAGCTTCTACCCGGTGAGATACAAACGAACGCTGATGAAAACGCTTTTCTCTAGAGCGAAGAGAATATGTTCACCAAACAAACTAGACAAAGCTTCATTAACAAATATGGCCAGAATGAACTCAAGAAGCTTGATACTGCTACAGTCAGTAAGAAGCCTATTTGCATCAAACTCGACTACAAAGGTGACGACATTATGAGAATGATAATTAAAAGATTAAGCACAGCCCTGTCTTGGACGTATCCTGCAGCAGTATTAGTCTCTCCACTCCGATCAACCTCCTCACTGGTGCAGTCAAAGATTGATAAGTACCCCTCACATGTTACCTACAACTGTGTCAAGCAATTGACATGTATCTGCCATAGCGGTTACATTGGAAGAACAGAAAGGAGGGCCTACGTCAGATTCTGCAAAACATGTACCAAGGAGCCTCCGTTTAGAGGGATTGTCTAAGCTCTTCAATCGCCAAACATTTGATTGACACAGGACATCGAGTAGATGTGCTGGAATCATTCAAAATAATTAACAGACAAAGTACCTGAAGCCTTCTCAGGTTTGCTGAAGCTATAGAAATTAAACGACTGAAGCCTGACGTATGTGTCCAAAAAGAATCCGTTGTTGGACTTCAATTACCCTGGTAACTGACATCTTAGTAACTCTCTGTTTCCTAATTTTGTTAATTTTGTTAACTTATCTTTTGACTCAACCCTCCCTCTTTATGTTTCGGTTGACTCTCTTAAGAGATAATTTTTCTTGATCTTCTGAGTTCTGCACATTGTATTATCTGATCAACTTCTCATCTGACCTCATGTGCACCGTAATTTTTAAATTTTGATCTTCTCTTATCTAATAACGTAACTGTTGCTAATTGTCTTTTGTTACCACCTTAACAACACAACTGTTAACTATTTTTTTTAAGAAACGTCCCTCTACCAAGATATATATATGTCGTGACAATTTAGATACCCTGTAAATCTCAATGCCTCATTTTACTATGACGCTGTGACACTATGCTTGCTAATGGACAAAGGTTTGTTAAAATTGTACACTTTATTTTTAATAAAAAAGTTCAGGTTGTACTCAGCTAATGAGAACCAACGAAATAAAATGGATCCAGATTATTCTAAGCCAATGTTTCTTCTTTCTTCTCTCCCAAATCTCTACTTGTTAATGCACTACGAGGAATCGACTAGTGCAGAGCATCGTTGTATAAATTTCATTTAAATATTTACTTATACTCGAGGAGATTTTCTCTGGTAAGCCCACAACCGCCACTGAGTAAACCATTACCAAAAAATGATCTGAATAACTGTAAATTAATAAATCAACGCCCGTATTAAGATGAATTTCAAGGTGATTCTGTCTTCTAGTTTACTGCTTCCCTGCTGAATTCTAAGTCGTATCAATGACTGTGGAATTCATCTACCAAAATCATATCTTAAATTGTAATATGTGGAGTGCTCTATGGTGCTCACATTTCCTGTTGATGAGCTCAAAGACAAATGCACTCATTATGACTTTGAACTAATTTTTAAAGAGGACTCGAAATAATCATTAGAGAAAGGGATTTGATTAAAATACTAAAATTTGAATGGGTCTTGTTTGTTTCAAAAACTTGGAGAGCACCGAAACAGAAACGATGGCTAGTGTCTGTATTTACCTCCTCTGTGGCTGCTTGGTTCACATACTCGTTCTAAATGAGGATGAACAACCAGATTGGCGAAATCACAGGAAATACACTCACGGGAATATACGATGCATGGAACCGTGGAATACATTAGTAAACTTGTGGCCAATAGACAAAACTTTACACTGAATAATCTTTCTGGCGTGGTGCTTTATTATCTTTAGTGACTGTATTGTACTTATTCGGTATGTTTCATTATATCGGCTTAGTTAAATTTCGACTGTTTGCTCTAAGTAGACAGGTGTGTTTACTAAGAATCACTGGTATCCACTTTAACACAACCAGGATATATAGATTGAAAGAAAAGCAGAGAAATTTCACGATACGTAAATTGTACAAGTGAAGAGAAGATAAGGAAGTCGGTCTATAATTTGTACTCGTAGAGGTACAATCAGTCCCGCTTACACTGAAATAACTGTGCATTGTACTACACTCATTCAGTGTGTCTTATTATATCAACCTAGTTCCAAATCGTGTGTTCGCATTAGGTCTATAAGTATGACTCCCATTACTCACTGTTATTGACAACTATTTAGAAGCGAATAAGGCTATTCTTGCAATGTAGGACAACACGACGTAAATGTTACAAACGAAGATAAGGTAGTTAGTCTATGAGTTATACTCCTAGACGTACAATCACTCAGACTAAAGCACTAAAGACGCATGACTTCACATTAAAATCGCGATACGATGTGACTACAATTGAAGCCGTACAGCCCCTACCTAATAGATTCACGTGAATGAAACCGAGAAAGAAAACAATACAGAAAGTGACTAACATTTATCAAGCTTTAATTTAACACGTAAAAATATAATATATATTTCACTTCAATGCACCACTCTCCAACTCACAAACAAATGAATATCCACACATCAGATCTACTCCGTTTTCTTCTAATCCTTCTCCTCCTTTTCGTCCTTATCGTCATCATCCTCGTCATCTTCATCTTCTTCCTTCTCTTCCTTACCATCCTCATCCTTTTCACTCTTTCCCTTCTGTTTCTTCAGCTTTCTTTTGTCCTTCTTTCCCTTCATCTTCTTCTCAACCTTCTTCTCTTTTTCTTTCTCCTCGTCCTCCTCTTCCTTTCCTTTTTTCTCTTCTTTAGCCTCCTTCCCGTCCTTCTTTGCCTTCATTTTCTTCTCAGACTTCTTTACTTTCGTCTTCTTTTCACCCTTCTCTACTTTACTCTTCTTCACATCCTTCCCTTTATCCGCCTTCTTTACCTTCTTCCCTTCTTCACCTTTCTTTTCGCCCTTCTCTTCTGTAACCTTCTTCTCACTCTTCTCTTCCGTCTTCTCCTTCTTCACATCTTGCTCCTCTACCGGCTTCTTCTCGCCCTCCTCTTTCTTAACCTTATTCTCGCCTTTTTCTTCTGTGACATTCTTTTCATTCTTCTCCTTCTTTACATCCTGCTGTTCTTTCGACTTTGTCTCAACCTTCTCTTCTGTCACCTTCTTATCTGTCTCTTCCTTTGTCTTATTCACATTCTTTCCTTCTGTCACTTTCACCACATTCTTCTCTTCCTTGCCCTCCGTTGTTGAATTAGTCTTCCCGACAGTTGTGCTTGCATTCGAGACTTCTACAGATACTGAAAGTGGAAAAACAACATTTCATGATAAATGCAAATACAAGAAGCGTTCGTCATACACTGAGATAATTTGTAGTGGAGAATGGCTAATGCACTCAAATTTTGCTTATTTCGAGCATTCCATAGTCGGGGTACACATTTGCGAAAACTCTCTGAAAAGAAAATACATGCTAGTGAATGACTGTTTGCTCTACACCCCATAATATTCAATTCACCATGGTTGATATGACGAAGAATTGTGGACTGCATATATTTCCATTAAAATCTTTGAATCATTAATGAATGAAGGTTGTAGCAAACGGTGGGAATAGTGAGTGTGTTGTTGATAAATTGAGGTAATTTAGCTATAGAAATGTGATCCACTCGGTAATCGGCAATCATATCCTGCAATTCAGGAAATATCGCTTTACGATTGGAATCATCATTGACCTGATGAACACTGAACACTGTGCTATCAGTGCATAACAACATATCTTATCAAAACAATAGGTGACATTATATAACTAAATCGTCCTTTCACAAACTTAGCTACACCTTAATCAATGACACTGCATCACTGCATTTTGTCAGAATGAAGATGCATGCATTAGGTGAATATGGCACAATCGATGAACAACCGGTGAGTTACATCGTGAAGAGTAATCACTCGCAAGGACAGACGAGTAGACTTTTACTATTTGTCTTGGAGAATAATTGAGGTGGAGAGGATTTGAGTAGGTGATTCTGATGGAAATTACTATTGAAACAAGTTTATGCGCATTGGTAAACTGTCAAATAAAGTGACAGTGTAAACTGGGATACACAGTCGCATGAAAGAATAACATCATAATGCATTAATTGGAAGTCAATCGAGCATCAGATATGTACTATAACAAATCATCCATGCAGTGATATGTGTTGGACCGAAGAAACTTCCAATCATCTCCCTAGTTGGTAAGTTATGGCAGTTCCAGTCAGAGCTGAGCAGATAACTGTGAGATAGAATTCCATGATTGCACTGACAACCATTCAATACTTGTCTAACTCCGGTAAGCACGTTTGCATATTGATGATATTAGATGGTTGGAAGCAATTGGCAGGAAGCCTTGGACCTAGGTTTCGTGCTAGTTGGCACTCGTCAGCAGGGCGTATCTGCAACCTTGAAGGAACTGATGTCCCTTCTGAGATTCGAAACCGCGTCACCCAGTGCTGCATGATGATATTATTTTGATTACATGAGTTCCTCCAAGGTTGCAGATACGCCTTGCTGATGCGTGTCAACTAGCACGAAACCTAGGTACAAGGCTTCCTGTGGCCGATTGCCTCCAACTATCTAATATTATCAAAACCAATATGCACCATGATGGCGAGCTACCTAGAATAGTGGCCACATTAAAACCTGACTGATAGAATTCAGTCTGCACCAAAGAGAGGACTAGACACATCACACTAGTTACTAGTGTCCAATCAAAATGTTTGCATATTGTCAACTGAACGTGTCAGTAATCATATGTCCTATCACTCGAATCCATCTCCTACATCTTAGTCGGTAACAAGTAAAAGCAATCAACAATGTCTAAACACGGCAGTCTTCAGCACGATTCGCTCGAGTTCATCTATTCCTATTCTGGTGATCCGTCAACATCTGATATCCTGCGTGACTTTGAGCAACCGTTTTACGTATGCGTGTTTGACTGTGTAACTTTGAATAGATTGAAACACAAAAGCTTCATTGAAAAGCGAATAATACGGTGAAAGAAGCGAAAATATAAAATAAAACCGAAATTCATGTGACTCACCTTCGTCGTCATAATATGCTGACGGTTCCCCAGCTTTCTTGACAGGATTCATTTCGACAAGATGCGGCACCAGAACACAAGCCATGATGATGCACAACATTGACAAGTGTGTCATTCTAATGAGTCTGAAAAAGCAAATAAATAATATCAAGGAACATTTCATATTTGCATGTAGGAAAAATGGTAAACGGGCAGGTGAAGCGAATTGATCGGAGTTTGAATTGAAGCAGATAAGGAGAAGTGAAAATGATACTGTTTCACATTTCACCTTGAATCTACAAACCACAATAGACTTTGTCGTGATTAGCGAAATGGCATAAAGATGAGTATATGCATATGTGAATACGTGAAACGATATTCAGCTAATATGGTCGGTGAGATGGTTGGAGAAGTGACTCGTTAGACATGGATGGAATAATGAATTCGTAACTCACAAGTTTTCTATCGGTTACTGATGATTTGAATAGTGTTCTAATCATGCACATATTTATATATGCATGTAGACGTGGTTTAGGTTTCAAGTCACGTGTTGAGCGGTCGCCTTTGTCATATAAATCAATTCTGTCTGTCAGCGTTTTGGCACATACTGGTAGATCTTGTGATCAGATCAGATGATTAATTAGGATTGATTGACCTCGATGAATGCTTCGTCGATTGAAGTTCAAGAGAATTGGATTAATTATCTACCCCATCCATATTATAAAATATTATTTCACCTTTACGTTGATTGTTTATTCATGAATTTTTCTAACTGATCTGGATAATTGGACTGCAAAGACTTGATTGTCTGTCTCCTACTTTGAAAGAGGACTTTAGCGCTGACTTCATGTAGTTGAATTTCGTGAATTTTTATTTTTCTTGTTGTATCAGATTTCACTGGATACCAGCGACATGGTTGATATGGAAGTGTCTCATTTACAGCCAATTAAACTTTGCATTAATTTTGGATGTTAAAATTCGCATCATGATAGTGGAAAGGTGATGCAAAGAGAAAATGATCAGTGTGCATAGGGAGATGAATTATATCAACAAGATTAGCAGCGTGAGCAAAAATTAACACAATCATGCGAATATAAATTTGCTGTGATATTCATAAAATCTACATATTAGTATTATTAGTCTAAATTCTTCATTGGATTTTGCTTTTCAGGCTGGTACGCCTTCTGTTAATTCATATTATGAATGCATTTATTGTTTAGCCATTATATGAAATGATAAGTAGTCCGACCAAGTGACAGTTAGTCAAAGTGTGAGGTGCGGATCCTGTTGAGATATAAAAACGTAATATTCGATAAAGAAAGGAAGACGAAATTTGCAGTATAAAATGATATCATTCTATTTCACAGGTTCTCATCAGCTGCGGACTACCTGAAATTACAATGGTTATATAAATGATAATAACATACTTTCACGTTTGAGTAGTAGTAGAGAAGAGATAAAATTGACGCATCCAAAAAAGAATGAAAGCATTACAACTTTTAGTTTAAGTAATCATCATCAATTTATACACTTTCAAAGTTGAAAAGAGGGGTGTTGGTAAGATAGAAAACAGAAAAATTGATTAACAGAAACAGTGTTAGCTTGAAGTTCAAATGGCAACTCCAAAAACAAAGGCGGTTACAGTTTATAAGATTGAGATTTGCTCAGTGAGTTGAGATCACTGAATTAGATGACTAATCAAAATCAAAATTCAGTTACCAAGGGAGTGAGAGGTTAATCACACTCTCTTTCTGTGTGCATAAGTCTGGTTTAAATCGTTTGATTGCGATCGCTTCGGCAAATCGTAGTAAATTTGCTGTCCTTTGTCCTGTTCACCATGGAATATGAACATAAAAATGAGTTCGATTTCCTGGATCTAAATGTAAGAAGAACAAACGAAGGCATGATTGAAAAGTCCATATATAGAAAAGAAACCTGGACTGGACAATATCTTCACTATAACAGCTTTTGTCCCATAAGCTATAAACGTGGATTAGTGAGGACTTTGTACGACAGAGCCAGGAAGCTATGTTCACCAAACAAGGTCAAAGAAGAACTAGATTTCGTCGAGAAATGCCTGAGGGAAAACGGATACGCTAAAGGATTTATACAGAAGTATAGCAGAGAAAAAGATAAGAAAGAAAAGCATCCAACTGTAGAAAAGAAAAAAGTGTTTATTTGTCTCCCATTCAAAGGAGATGCAGTTTCACAAAAGATTGACAGAGGACTGAAAGGAGCAATAAATAGAAGCTTCCCGGCAGCAAAACTCATAACAGTATACAACACCACTCCCTCCATGATCAACTCAAAACTGGATAAATACCCTGCTGATGTCACCTCCAACTGCGTTTATGAATTTACGTGCACTTGCGGGAGCAAGTAAATTGGAAGGACAGAAAAAAGGGCTCCTATCCGGTTTTCTGAACATATTCCAAGAAACGTATGCCTGAAAGGAAGCAAATATTCTCAGAGTGCAATTACCAAACATATTGTTGATACCGGACAGCTCGTAGAGACTTCTTTATCCTTCAAAATATTAAACAGACAAAGGACAGCAAATTTACTACGATTTGCCGAAGCGATCGCAATCAAACGATTTAAACCAGACTTATGCACACAGAAAGAGAGTGTGATTAACCTCTCACTCCCTTGGTAACTGAATTTTGATTTTGATTAGTCATCTAATTCAGTGATCTCAACTCACTGAGCAAATCTCAATCTTATAAACTGTAACCGCCTTTGTTTTTGGAGTTGCCATTTGAACTTCAAGCTAACACTGTTTCTGTTAATCAATTTTACTGTTTTCTGTCTCACCCCTCCCCCCTCTTTTCAACTTTGAAAGTGTATAAATGGATGATGATTACTTAAACTAAAAGTTGTAATGCTTTCATTCTTTTTTGGATGCGTCAACTTTACCTCTTCTCTACTACTAATCAAACATTAAAGTATGTTATTATCATTTATATAACCATTGTAATTTCAGGTAGTCTGCAGCTGATGAGAACCTGTGAAATATAATGATATCATTTTATACTGCAAATTTCGTCTTCCTTTCTTTATCGAAATTTATCAAGGGAACCAGTTGTATGAAAAACGTAATTCTTTCCTGAATGTATATATACGAACGGCGTACTGTTCGTCAGAATTTTGAAAATCCCAGTAGTAATGCCATCTATTACCACTAGTAGAAAAGAATCCTTCACGGATAGGACAACGTCTCAGTGATCACAGAATTTCCCAAAATCAATAGAAGGGAGTTTTGATGGGATTCTTGTTTGATATGATTCAGCCTTCTTGCAAACATCTGATGAAATAATCAATAAAACAGTGGAAGTCAGATATGCTTTGAAGATCTTCAAAATCGTTGTGACGGACACTTAAATTTCAGTGTCTAATGTGTATACGATGATGAATACGAATAATTGGATTGCAAAAGCGAGTGGGAAGTAACAAGTAAAGGTTCGAGAATAAACTCTGTCTTCAGCTGAACATGTAGTGTAGCTTCAGCACTACACTTCTACCAAAACTGCAGTGTCATTGATACAAAAATAATAATATTAATGCTGGAACAACCTTCTAGTCTGCATATAATAGAGATGAGGTATGTGAACTGAGATATATTGAACTTTTAGCCAATAGGGTAATTCAGTACCAAACAATATATGTCAATGAACAAACTGATGTATTCTGTTTTATAGACTGTGGAAGATCATTGGAGTGATCCAGTCAAACTGCATATGAGTTACTGTCCTAAAAGTGAACTTCGACCACTTCTCTGATAGATAAATTTTTCAGGAATTCATTATTCTCTGTATTTTGGTGACAATGTGGATGCATTCAATGCATTTTCCTCAAGCTCTTATACTCTCTTCACACGACTCGCTTCATATCATCCCTGAATCCTCATCGGAATCACCGGTCTCTATTCCAGGTTCATTCGAGTGATAGCATAGTGCTATGTGTCACCAGTCATCAGTTTTCTTAGAGTGAATTATTTAACTCCGTTTATATCAAAATGGTTGTTGGATGATAGCTTGCTGACCACTTCGTTCCTACAGCTCCTTATCGCTTATGTTATAGCGCCAACCATCTGATCTTGAATATCGAGGTAGCAAATGCGGTTGTGACCCAGAAACGACGGCAGATATGCTGACTCCATTATTGCAAAAGATCTGGAAAGAGGGAAAGGTGCCTACTGACTGGAGGAAAGGTTACCTGGTGAAACTACCAAAGAAGGGCGACCTGGGACTCTGCAAAAGCTGGCGAGGAATCATGCTCCTGTCGACGCCAAGTAAAATCCTGAGTCGCATCATCCTGGAGAGAATCAAGGACGCGCTGGATACAGAACTCCGACCATAACAAGCTGGATTCAGGAAAGGCAAATCATGTTCTGACCAAATTGCAACTCTACGCATTATCATCGAACAAAGCATGGAATGGCAATCAAATCTCTACCTCAACTTCATAGACTTTGAGAAGGCCTTCGACAGCGTTGACCGCGAAGTAATTTGGTAACTACTCGAGTACTACGGCGTACCGCAAATATTCATCAACCTTATTCAACAACTGTACGACAACGGCACATGTCAAGTGATCCACAACGGAAAACTCAGCGAAGCGTTTGGAGTAAACACAGGAGTCAGACAAGGGTGCTTATTATCACCAATGATATTCCTAATTGTGGTGGACTGGATTATGCGTGAGACAGTGGGAAACGAGAAGACAGGGATATCCTGGACCGACGTGAAGAACCTAGAAGACCTGGATTTTGCGGATGATTTATGTTTGATGTCACACAAAATCGAAGACTTACAAGCAAAAACCGACAAACTGGTCGAAGAAGCAGCAAAGACAGGACTGCAGGTGAACATAGACAAGACGGAGGTTATGAAAATAACCAACCAACAACAGCAGCAGCAACATCCAGTGCCAATCACCATCAACGGGAGGGATTTGAAAGAGGTTACTTCTTTCACTTATCTGGGGAGCATTGTCTCAACCACAGGAGGAACGGACGAGGATGTCAAATCGCTAATCGGGAAGGCGAGAAACACATTCATCAACCTGAAACCAATCTGGAAATCTTCGTCACTCAGCCAGCATCAA